CACGCTCCAGTAAACTCGTCCTAAAACTATTAACAACAGTGTTACCAGCATGTCGTTTACCAGGGCACGCTCCAGTAAACTCGTCCTAAAATCTATTAACAACAGTGCTACTAGCATGTCGTTTACCAGGGCATGCTCCAGTAAGCTCGTCCTAAAACATATTAACAACAGTGCTACCAGCATGTCGTTTACCAGCATAACCTTCACAAATCCCATTCTTAACCTGATGCGACTTTCCAATATCCCGCTATTAAATTGTCACTTACCTGCATATTCTCGGAAATGCACGCTCATGGATTTGTCGCAAATGTTGTGTGCAATGCTACCAGCATGTCGTTTACCAGCAGGCTCTCCAATAAGCCCATCCGTGGGCCCTACATAATTATCTGATATAGCGCAACCAGCCTGTCGTTTACCAGCATATTGTTTCAGATGCTCATCCGTGACCAGCAATCTTACCGGTTGTTTAATACAACGCTACCACCATGTCGATTACCAGCATCTTCTCCCACAAGCTCACCCACGACCACTAATCTTGCCAGCATACGCACCAAATTTACTCGCTCTCGGCATGTCGTTTACCAGCATACTCGCCTATAAGCTCATCGGTGACCACCATACCAGCTTATTCACCGAATTACTTTAATACAGCGCCACCAGCATGTCGTTTACCACCACGCCTTCTAGTAGTAAGCTCATCCGGGAGCTCAGGACTGAGGTCGACACACTCGAGTCTCAGCTGAAGTTCTATAGAGGAGTGGAAAGACTCGCAGGACATAGCGCACGGTTGACAACGGATTCGCATGAGGTCGAACAGGTAGGTAGGAATAGGAAACAAATAACGGATGTACAAGCACATTATCATGAGTGTACGTACATATGCCAAATGTAATTGTACGAATATCATGTGTATAAGTACGTTTTTAACTTGTGCATACGTACATGTTGAAGCATGTGTAGCTTTGTATCCTCGTGGGACAGAGTGCACGGGTGACAACGGATTCGCAAGAGGTCGAACAGGTAGGTAGGAATAGGAAACAAATAACGGATGCACAAGCACGTTATCATGAGTGTAAGTACATATGTTACATGTAATTATACGAATATCATATGTATAAGTACGTTTTAACTTGTGCATACGTACGTCTATTCTATGTTAAAGTATATGTAGCTTTGTATCCTCGTGGGACAGAGTACACGGTTGACAACGGATTCTCGTGAGGTGAATCGGTTTGGTAATTATACACATAACGCGATGTAGAAGTACACATATGTTACTTGTGATTACACAAATAACATAAGTAGAAGGGGGTTTTTTACATATGTGTACGTACATATATCATATGTATTTGTACATATTTTAAACGTGTGTATGCGTACGTATATCATATTTCTGTACGTAAACTTTTGTATCTTAGTGAGACAGAGTGCCCGATTGACAACGGATTCTCATGGGTTTAGACTACATATGAATACGAAGTTAGTCCACATTTAGAAGTGTGTGCATCATATATACAATCATATGCATACGTACGTATATCATATGTATAAGTATGTATCCACTTTGCCCTCCCGGTGCCCAATACTATCCTATATCATCAGATATTTTGTCCCATATTAGTGACTATGCCAGTCTTAGTAGCTGATAGTGTCCGGTGTCTTCATGTATTTATTCTTTTGTCCGGATTGTCTTGGTGTGGTGATACTTCTACCCAAGTTTGGTCCGAGACCCAGCCCCAGGTCCTCAGAGACAATGTAACTTGATTGAACGACCCTCTCTTGGTTGTGCCTTGGTGCTTACACCCCTAGCTGTACACATACGTCTGCATGGGTTACCGTATAACCCTAAAACTCAAAACCCCAAACCACGAAACCCTAAAACCCCACACCAACTGACAGGTACTGAAGGATGCGACTGAGTCCATCGAAGTGATGGACAACAGACTACACACCCACGAACAACACGCGCGCGAAACAGCGAAGAATGCACAGGAGAGGATAGACCAGCTGACGTACACGGTGGGCGAGTTAGAGGCACGCTTACGGCAACAGGGAGGCTTAGGCGGTGGCGCAAGCGCTCTCTTTGGTGCGGGATCGGGCAAGAACCTGGACGTTTCGAGTATGTGTATATGTATGTTGATATTGTGTATATATGTGTGTGTATTCTGTATATATGTGTGTTTTTTTGTGTATATATGTGTGCGTATTGTGTATATGTATAGGTGAATTGTGTGTATTTATGTTGATGTGGTATGTGATTTGTCATGTGAGCGTGTGTGTATGTTGTGTTTATATGTGTTAATGTGTGCGTATGCGACAACATGTATGCAGACATGTATGTCCATAGATGTGGGCATTCTCAGTCATGATATTGGCGAGCTGGAGGCATGTTTGCGGCTGCAGGGAGACTTGAGTGGAGGCGTAGGCGTTCTTTGTCGTGTGAAACTTAAAAATTATATATATATATATGTGTGTGTGTGTGCGTGTGTGTGTGTGTGAATATATAGATATACATGTATATGTATGTATGTATGTATGTATGTATATATATTTATATGTGTGGGGTGGGTTTGTGTATGTATGTATGCATGTATATAAATATGCATATGTGTATATATATATATATTTATATATATATATATATATACATATATATATATATATATATATATATATATATATATATATATATATATATATATATATATATATATATATATATATATATA